TAGCCCCAAGCCTATACAGAAGCAACACGTCAAAAAGAGTGCATCGAAGACTTTAAGTGATAGAGCAGTGCGACCTAGAGAACGTTTTGAATCATTTGTTCGTTTTTCATTTTACGAAAACTCACTTTCACTTCCCAAAGCGGCTGGAAAGACGGGAATGGAAGTTAGGGTTCTGGTTTCGCCCCCACCCGACCCAATGAGCGGAGCCGGGGCTTAACCCCAAACTCTAACCCAGGGACACGGGTTTGGGGTTAACACTGGCCCTAACCCTCCCAGAAACCCGGTTAGGGTTCGACCCTAACCCGGGTTGGGGTTCGGGATAACCCCAACTCTAGCCCGCGGACTCGGGGTTAGGTCTCGGGTTAACCCTTGCCCTTTCTCGAGGATTTGGGGTTAGGGTTCGGGTTGGGGTTCGGGTTAACCCCAACTCTAACCTGTGGACCCGGGGATAGGGTTCGGGTTAACATTGGGGTGCAGGTTACGCCCGAACTTATAACCTCAGGTTCGGGTTATCCTGAACCCCAACCCAAGGATAGGGTTCGGGTTTATCCCAACCCAACCTCAACCTTACGTTTACTTTTGGTTGAACCGCAACCTGAACGTGAGGTTGGGGTTGTTGCCCCTTCGGAGGGGCCGAGGTTGTAACAATGAACAACCCCAACCCCCAACCCACCCCCCACCGTGTATGCTCAGCAAATTTTGCCCAAAAATCGGTTAGTATTGTTGCAACTCTTAGCTGTTTCGTGGCTTCAAGTTTTTGGCTGCTTCTTGAGTCAAGTAGTCACACACACACACACAGGTCAATCGTGGCAAATTTTGACAACAATCGGCTGGCACAATTTGCTACCATTGACTGTTGCTTGAGTGGAATGTCAATAAATTTTGACAAATACTCTGGTGGCCAAATTTGCTGGTACTGGCTGCTTCTTGATTGAAATGCAACAGGGTTAAGGGTTTAGGGTTTTAGGGTTTGGGTTTTGAATTCGCGGTCTAAGGTTTAAGACTTGGGGGTCTGTGTGTCATGTGTTTCTGGATTTAGGTGGGTTCCGAGGTTTGGAGGTTTGAGTGGGGGTTTCGGGTTTGGGTTTTGAGCTTTGGGTGGCTAAGGATTTAGAGTTTAGGGTTTGGCTTCGGCTTTCTGAGTCCTCACCGGCTCATGAAGATGGCCTTAACTTACTTGATGAAATGATTTTTAAATTGGGGTTTCGGATGTAGGTTTCAGTGTTCAGGGTTTAGCATTTACGGGTTGGGGTTTCGCCTAGGGTTAGGATTTAGGGTTTAGGGTTGAGGGTTCTAGGGGTTATAATTTATGGTTTAGGGTCTGGGTTTTAGCTTGTACGCGTTCACAGGTTTAGAGTTTTTTAGTGTTTAGGGTTGAACGTTTAGGATCCAAGGCGTAATTAACATCTGGAATCGAAGGTATGTCTCGTTCACCGGAAGCGCATGGTGATGTAGTTTCTACATGGCTGAAATCTGAAAGCGACGAGGTGTCTCATTGCAACACAATGCTAAAACATAGAACCTACAATCTTAAAGCCCTGCAACTTAGGGTCTCGAGTTTAGGGCCGTTTAGGGTTTAGGGTTGACAGTTCAGAGCCCAGCTGAGCACCGCGGTGAGCTCGTCCATGAACTTCTGAACCTCTAAACTAAAATTGTTTCATCAGGTCAAGGCTCCAGGCGTTTACAGGGGCGTCAGAACCCTAGTGCGTATAGGCTTTAAGGTTTGGTCTCTAGCGTGTAGGGGGCTTAGTGTGTGAAACTTGGGCTGGTGCCCACTGTACTTCCTAGCCAATTGTTTTGCGCGGCCCTTCAAACCCTAGAGCCCGAAACCCTAGACCCTCTACGGCAGGTGTTGAGTTTGAAGGCCGACAAAAGGCTTTCGATCCGTGACCTTTTACAAACCCTATAACCCGGCGAAACTCAACCCTGAACCCTAGACACCCAAAGCCTACAAAGCTAAATGCTGAACAGGCGAGACTGCCATTCGTACATTTTCCACTGCAGCCCCAGGAATCAGAAAGTTTAGGTTTTCGCGTTTAAGCCAGCTTTAGAGTTTCGGGATGTTTCGGGTGATTCATTAGGTAGGATGTGACGTTGTTCGCAGACAGGCTCGAGAATCTCAGTGTGGCGCACTACAGAGTTTGGGATTTTAGTAGTTTGGTGGTTTCGGGAAGATTGCGGGCTTAGACAGAGTCATCGCCGCAATTGCTTGCATGTGAATCTTGGTTCAACACAGTCATGAGATCGACGCACCCGTGGAGTCTTAGGGTTTAGGCTTCAGGGTGTGGGATTCGGGTTTAGGGTTCAGGGTTTTGGATTCAGAGTGTAAAGTTTCGGGTTTAGTTGGACATGCTAGCCGGAGCTTCGCTAGATGTCGCGTGTAAAGCTTTAGGGTTTCGGGTGGTTAATTAATTATTAGGATGTGACGTTGTTCGCAGACAGGCTCGAAAATCTCAGTGAGGCGCACTGCAGAGTTTGGGGTTTCAGTAGTTTGGTGGTTTCGGGGTGTAGTGGAGGGTGATGGGGGTTGAAGATTACGGGCTTAGACAGAGTCATCGTCGCAATTGCTTGCATGTGAATCTTGGTCCAACACAACCATGAGATCAACGCACCCGTGGAATCTTAGGGTTTAGGCCTCAGGGTTTGGGATTTCGGGTTTAGGGTTTAGGGTTTTGGATTCAGGGTTAGAGCTTCGGGTTTAGTTGGACATGCTAGCCGGAGCGTAGATGTATGAACGTGTGCTGATTTGATCTATCGCTACTAGGCTTCCAAATCTGCAGGCCTGGAGCCCATATATAAAGACTTCCTTAGTTGCCACCAAAAACCTTGAGTCGTAATCCTGGTCCTGCAAGCAAACCGTTTCGTGTTGCCTTGCTTGCCATGCTACCTCGAAAACGACCCGCTGCAATTCCGCTGGAGAACTTGGACCGCGGGCATGCGGTATACCAGATCGAGTTTCAGAGGCTGCTGGCATTAAGCAACCTTCGGCCCTTGTGCGACGCAGACCGTAGCAGCTACGACGCTACGAGGCTCTTATGGAACTGCGTGGCTCACTCCTGACGAAGCTTGGTGACGGCATCGATCTTCGAAAATGCTATTTCATCTCGACGCAGTCTGCGGTGGACTCAGCTTGCAAAGCTATGGCGCCCTACATCTTGTGCGATTCTCCGGGGCAAAGCATGGAGCAAGTTGCCAGCCGACTGCAGGAAGCGAAGATGGAGCACTGCAAAATTTTATCGGATGACGACCTCGTGCCGGCCGTTTCCACTTTGCGCCTGTGCAACATCTCTCCTCGCCAGGACAGAGGAAGCCATAGGATGCGATGGACGGCCGCTTAGTTCATTTGTCTCTTGCAGCACTGCATTTCTCTGATTGCCACCGTGTGGAAAGCTGGCGCAGGGCGTCCGCCAGCTGAAGGGCATGACCAGGAGGAACATTTGGCCGACGGACAGCTTCCTGGACTCGAGGCCGGTTCTGAGCACCACGAGCCAAGCAAACGAAGACGACATTGGGGATGAAGAGACCTGGCAGTCTTTTGGGAGCTTGTTCGGAGCCATGTCTGTTCAGCAGCGTGACGCCATGCGCGACCGGCATGCAGCTCCTCCAAGATGCTGCTGGAAGATGGCCTGGGGCTTCGCTTCGTGCTGCGGGTTCCGACCCAGGCGAGCGGCTGGCTTTCCGCGAGCCATTCAGATTTGGCAGAGCTACATGAGCAGGACACCTCTCGCTTGGCGAAACCAGCGCCTGCGCACTGGAAGCTTCATGTTTCCACAGGATGGACTGGTGGAGAAGGTGCTCCGCGACAGAGTTGAAGAGATGGTATAGCCCTTATATGGACGCTCCAGCTCCGTGCCGATTGTCCCTGCCGTTGCAGGCTGCGCGTGCACGCTCTGCCTGTTGCAACAACGAGGTATGTTGCTTGGCACCGAGCACGCCCCAGTTCAGCATCCAGCACAGCTCATTCTGCAATTGGGCAGGCGTCTCCACAGCGAGCTACGTCGAGAAGCCCGCGTGCTGCAGGTCACCGCTCCGGAATATCAGCTTTGCCCATCGGTCACAGAGAATGTTCTACTCAGTTCTATGCAAGTTAGGCAGTCGGTGCATTGCACCTCTCGACACAAACGTGACTTTGCGAGGTGACTGCATCTCTGCATGAAAGCAAAAAGCCCATCAGTCAGCATTCGTGTCTCTTTTGTGCCAGCGCAGATACCATTGGAGCAATCCGACATTCGACCCATGCATCTCTCAGTAAATCATTGTAACAGACACTTTTAATACCCAGCAGACAGTTCAAGAGGGCGCATCTGGGGGCATTCGGAAGGGCTTCTGATATAGATGGAGTATCCCTCGACAAGATGTTTAATGTGATCGGATGTGACTTCGAGTGACTTGATACCCAACATGCCTGATTTCAAAAATGTGCCGGCCCCGATAAAAATTGCTATTCTATGCTGCTTTAGTAAGTGTGTAGACAAGATGTTGGGTTTGCAGCATCACTCCCTGTACCAGAAGTGCGGAGGAAAATTCGGTGCGGCTTTGCCCAGTGTCCTCTTTTCTTGTGTACTGCAGCAGCACTGGTTTACTTTCCCTTGCAGTGCATGTCTTTACATTGCTGTCAAAAGTTCGGCAACTCTGCGATTCGCTGGCTTGCAGGTCGGACTGCATTGTCCTTCTCTTTTTGCCGGGCTCTCAGAGAGTGAAGTCCTTAGTCAAGCTTGCGCGACTACTTTTCGGAGGAACACTCAGCACGGTTTACGGTTTAGGGCTTAGGCCGAATGGATTTAGGGTGTTCGGGTTTAGGGTGTAGGGTTTGGGGTTTAGGGTCCCTAAACCCTTGATAAACCCGAAAAGACCCTAGAAAACCCTAAACACTAAACCCTACACCCTAAACCCTCAACCATAAACTCTGTTGTGTGCCGCGTGGGAGCCCCTGTCTCTAGATTTTCCGGGAATTTAGAGGCCCTGGCGCTGCAGAAAGTTTTGGCGTGCTTTGGACTTGGCAGGGCGCTGCTGCGTCCTCCTTCTGCTGGTGCTCGGCTGCCAGACTGTCCAGATTGCACACGGATTCGGCTTTTTACCGCACCCTCTGCTCTGCAAGTCGGCGGCTTGCTGTGCTCGTGGAGAGTTAGCGCAACCGCAGTATATGTGCAAAGAAGATATGGAGCTAGACAGGCCCTGCGTGAGTGTTGCAAGTCGTTTTTGGAGCTGCGTGCCGCGCAGGAGCCCCTGTCTAAATTTTCCGGGAATTTAAAGGCCCTGGCGCGGCAGAAAGTTGTAGCGTGGTTTGGACTTGGCAGGGCGCTGCTGCATCCTCCTTCTCCGGGTGCTCGGCTGCCAGGCTCTCAGAAGGTTAGCTTTTGAAGCTCGGCGGATTACTGTGCTGGGGAGCGCGCAAGCGTGAGCACGCACTTCTAACCGAGAGATCGGAATCTGCGCAAAACGTTTGGTTGCTCATCTGCAGTCCAGTCTGCACACGGATTCAGCGTTTTACCGCACCCTCTGCTCCGCAAGTCGCCGGCTTGCTGAGCTCTTGGAGAGTTAGCGCAATCGCAGTATATGTGCAAAGAACATGTAGAGCTAGACAGGCCCTGCGTGAGTGTTGCAGGAACAGCATTCAAAGGAAAGCCACCACTGCTCATCGATCCATCTCTTTCTGCATCTTCTGTTCCACATAGCCATGATTGTACGGCGAAAAATTCTGATCTCTCGAAAAGTCCAAATTCCAAACTTCTCTGTGCAGAGCTCGCTGTGCGTTTGTATTTTGTAGTCAGCAGTGTTTTCGTANNGCATCGCTTGCTTCGCAACGCGCTGGCCCAAACCCAGAAACACATGCATGTTGTTAGGCAGCTGTCCTAACAATATTTGTTTCTACCCACCCTCCACACCCGATGGGGGGAAATCACGCGGGGCGCGCTCGCCTTGCAGACTTTCCTTCGAGCGCGCACCGCTCCGCACTGACACCGCAACCATAGTGGTAAAAGAGTTGTGCCTCACTCTTTCTTCTAGGTGCGTTTGCTTTCGTACCAACCTAGAGAACTGAGTAATGTGTGAGCATGCCGGCGCCAGCGTGCTGCGGCATCAGATTGTTTGTTTCACAGTTTTGCTTCTCGCGGCTCCCTAAATTCCGAAATCCTACACCCTAGAAGCACTACACCCCAAGCCTTTTTTGAGCTAATACACAGATCATGGTTACGCTGGTGCGTGTTTGAGCTCTCCATGTGGATATTGTTGTGCGAGTGTTTGAGCTGCCAGCCCAACCGACACCTCGTTGTGTGATCGTTGGTCGGGTCACAGGTCACAGGAAGCCCCTTGGTGTGAGGCCAACGCCCCCTTCGGGGGGTATGACAGCGGGACGATGAGCTAATGTGCCCGGTGGGGTGCTAATCTGCAGGCGGAAGGCAAGTGAGGGAGCTACGACTACATGTGGGTGGGCGGTGCATCCGTCCCTTAAAATTGCAGCCCGAACTGCAAGGCCAGGACTGTGTGTCTTTCCGGCTCTTGACTCATGCTTACTCGAGCTTTCATGCCTATTTTCTGATCAATTTCTTTTGTTGTTTCCTTTCGAAAAATTTTCAACTCGACGGAATTAACTCTTTATAAATTAACAATTGCTTGAATCCAATCCCTAGATTAACTAGAATTAGCTAATAGTCAGGAGTTTGTCAAACCCCGATCTATTGGGTTTTTTCGCAGTCGGAATTCGCGTACAAAACACAATATAAAGTTTTAGCCTGCAGAATGTGTTGCTTGCGGGAAACGTGACATTCTTGAAGTTTTTATTCTGGAATTAAGTTCTCCAGAAGCACAAAGAGACACACAATGTTGTTGGCAAAAACCCAAACATGGTTGCTTTCATTTGATGTCAGGCATTCAGCAACCTCATTTGGTGTGAGGCATTCAGCAACCATGTCTGTTGCTTTATTTTTAAACGCTTCGCGTCGTCCGCCTCGGCCCGGCCGCAAACAAAGAGAGCCAAGGAACTGCTGGTGATTTGAAGGCGCATGAAGGCGCCGGGGAAGGGTTGTCTACAAGCATCCAGAGCCGCATCGGCGGCTGGTGCAAGCAAGAAAAAAAGCAAAGATGGTGGAAAAGCGGAAGCAACAATGGATGGAAAGCGAACCGAGCGGGTAGGAGAAGGGGGGAGAAGGACGGAACAGGCAGGCGGGAAAAAGGGTTGGGGGGGGGTGGGGGCCGGGAAGGGGGAGCTGGAGGGGGGGGGCAGGAGGCGTGGGCTGGGCTGGGGGCAGAGGGAAGGGGCCGGCAGAGCACGATTTTGGGGCTCATTTATGGGTTCACGCAGACACACGAACCCCCCTTGACCTCTTCGGGGCGAATTTTTGGGCATTCCAAGTTCCAAGATGTGCAACTCGCGTGCGTTGCGACGATATGTGCCAACAGTACCACAAAAAACAAACCGCACAAACAAACATTTTGGGTTCAGAGGAGCTCGGAAACACGATTATCTATTTTTTCAAAAGGTTTCGCAAACATTCTTCGGAACCAAGCAGATGAAGGCCAGTTACTGTTTTCAAGGTGGGCTTAGAGTTTACACTTGCCAAATGTAACCTCGGAGTTTACCTCAGAAAGTTGTCCACACTTGCACTTGTGGTTAAAAGCTTCAACACTTGCCAAAAGCACCTCTTGTGTAACCTCGGAGTTTACCTCAGAAAGTTGTCCACACTTGCACTTGTGGTTAAAAGCTTCAAAACAATGTCTGCGCTTTGAGACTTTGGTACTTATCAAAAAAATCAACTGTGTTGCCTTTTCAAGTTTTCCCGCAAGCAAAGCATTCCGCCTGTAAGGCAACTGGGATGAGCTGTCCCCAAGCCGGGTCATGCCTTACCAGGGCAGTGGCGCACCATTGGATGTCGCTCAAAAAGCAGACTCGTCAAGGCAGAATAGAATGCCACCATGAACCCGGCAAGCCGTGATGTGGCCGGCCCTGCGCTCCATAATGAATTGTATTTTGTACGCAACTTCCGTATTATTGTATGCCAGATGGAAAGATTGCAAGAGAAAGCGTGTCAATCATGTTTCATTATTTTTCTTGTTTTTGACGCCTCAAAAATCGAATTCGTGTGGCTTCTTTTTTCAGTTGGGTAAGACGTTTTACTTAAATTCCTCGCTTTTGACAACATCACGAGCGGCAGGTTTGCGAGTGAATTTTCATTTGCAGATCCTGACAAGCTCCCGTTCAAGATTTCACAAACCATGGCCATGGGCCAGTGCGTGTGGATTTTGCATTGCAGAGATTTGATGCTTTGGTTTTTTCGCTTGTATTGTTATCATGCCATGTGTGCGCGTCTCCATATCAGCAGGGTCAGAAAAAGACCTTGGAGGCCCAGAAATCATTTTTGGTACTGTGCGTGGAAAAACCCTAGGAACCCACAAAAACATCTTTCAGGGGGTCTCTGAAGCTTCTGCACGCACGAATTCAGTACCCATGCGCGGGTATTCTTTTGAGACAAGGCGACAGTTGGACGGACATTTTGCAGTGTTGCACTCTGCCCCACGTACGCTACCGGCTGCCCTGCTTTGGCCAAGACAAGCAAGTATTGCCTAAAATAACGCCCGGACTTGTGCCCAGCATTTTCTCAATAAGAGTTGGAGCACAATGCAACTTCTGCTTTGAATTCGTCATAACGGAGTGACCTTCAATTCTTGCGGGTTTGGCATGGCAGGTTCAGTAACAAGCCCAAAACCCTCTGGAAGAATCAGCGTGCACATGCAGCAAGCTTGAAGCACCTTGTTTTTTGTTGGCTGCAGTACCAATATGACTGCATGCCACATGTGGTGAGTTGTCGAACGGCAGTTGGGAGTGTTTA